TGCACATTGCACGTCCAACCCTGTATCACACGAAATACGTTCTGAGGAAACTATTTTGCAAATCGCAATTACGTTACATGCAACATATAAGCAGTGCTATTACGTTGGTCCTTACGTAATATGTCTCATTGTTAATACGTAGATTTAATACGTTATTTTCAAAGAATGTACGTACGTTTTTGTACGTTTGGATAGATGCTAAAACGTATAATATGGACGTATTTGCAACATTTAAACGTAACCTTATTACGTTTTTACAGCTACAAACGTTAATTATTTACATATGTTTCATATCATAACGATATCTGTATACTTTCACTTTTAAAGATAAATGTAACAAGACCCCTTAATCCTACTCAAAAAACATATTTATTTATACAGAATATAAAAAGGATTAAAACGTAATGGACAGAGATGTGTAGTTAAATGAGTTTTAGCATTAAATATATTTTGAGCCACTAATCCCACTCCTATCCCTAAACCTAACCATAACCATTCCTTAAAACTACGTAGGTAACACAATTAAGAAAAAAAAAAAACATAACAGACAGATACATTTCACAATAATTTATTTATTTATTATTAACATTACCAAAAGTCGTTCACATGATGATGCGTTGCAGTCGCAGTCCTCTGGCAGTATTATAGTAGTTGTGTATGAGGTACAGATCAGAATTAAAGTTATTAACGTTAATCCAAAATGTTAATCTGATTTCGGTTCGCTCTCTGTCTGAAGGCGCGCGCTCTTCTCCATTTCAAATGTGAATGTACTACACCGACTGAAACACGGCATGTCGCAATCTGTGACGAAGCAGGCGAGAGCCAATGAGCGTTTGATATCACTGCCATAAAACATGTCGTAACGCTTCTTGAAGGCGCATTATTTGAATTTGAATTAATCACCAGCGCGGATTTGACGTTTGCGGTCGCTGCTGAGAAATGAAGATGAAGATCACTGGATAAAAGGCTGGATTTGGATCTGTTTCTTGCAAACAACGTATGGATTCTAGGATTTGGTTTACATCAAGCTAAAAAAATTTATGTCTTTTGTGAATGTATCAGTATGTTGTGTTTTATTGGAGAAAATGCTTTTTATATATGTATGAGTAACGTTGGTCTATTATATTAATAAATGCGAAGGAAAACTTAATTGATATGACAGTTGAATGCAAAAGAGTCAAAATTTTAATGCCACGATTATGCATAAATAGTAAAGAAACCTGCTTGGATGTATTATGTTCAGGAAAAACGTAATAGCACTGCAATAGTATTACGTTAAGGACTAACGTAATAGCACTGCTTATATGTTGGCATGTAACGTAATTACGATTTGCAAAATAGTTTCCTCAGAACGTATTTTGTGTGATACACAGTGCACGTCACACGTATAGGCTCACTACTGGCCCCACACTTTTGAGTGGTATATACTATTTATATATTAAATATAAATATATCCTAAGTTTTAATTGTTTTAACTAAGCCCTAAACGTTTGAACCAGACTGTATACATTATTATACACAAGAAGAACATGAATATGTAAAGTGTTTGTATTATACACTGTATAGCAGTATCAGAACTTGGTAGTATCAGCACCTATAAGTACTGTAGCTCCAGTGTTTGCAAGCCTATTCATAAGCATACTAAGTCCATGTCAAATTGACAATTGAAACAAAATATCATTTAATTATGCACCAAAAGAGATCTGGAACTTCTCTTGTGATGCAGTGGTTAAAATCACACCATTGCCTCAGGGGGCCTGCAGCTACCACAAGCAGAACTGAGACTCTAATGTAGTTGCCATTTTGTCACTCGAGGAAACTATTTACTCGAAATTAATATCTGATACCTCTTTGGCTTTCCTTAAACTGGGTTTTCGGTGTGCTGCACATGACGTTCATACAGTATGTCCTTCATATGACCTTAAAATATCCACATGCTAATACCGCTAATCGCTAACCTCCCAAAGAAGTTTTAAGCCAATGTACCTCACAATCTTGAGAATATTTTCGCTGGCTCCAGGCCTTGCACTTTTATCTGCACGGCACAGAGGTGACAATTTCACCAGGAAGGGTTTTGTGAAGGCAAGTCCCCTATTAGCAAATGCCTTGTTTCATTAAAACTTTGTTCAATGAAACGCATCCGAGTAAAGCTTTTTGATGCTCAAAACATATCCTTCAAGAAGCATTGCTCTGAGAAGTTTCTCTCTCAATGATTTCAACAACAGCTTTGAAAGACATCTCTTAAATGTGGTGAAAGTGAGAGAATTCGCTGACTTTCAAAGCTCTCTCGGTTGTCATACTTAGATAATGAGGAAGGAAGTGGAAGGCAGTTTTGAAATTAAACAGTACTTATGCTGTGGAGGCGCGCGGGGTGTGTGTGTGTGTGTGTCAGGAGTCTTGAGTACCCTTGTTTTCCCCCTGCGATGTGGTGTAAGAGGTGCTGTATATCCTCCTTTTGTGGGGGAAGCTTATGATACTTGTGACTGCCGGTATGAGGTCACATGAGGGGGAGGAGGAGGAACAAACACAATAGCTGCAGTATATGAGCAAACTTCTCTCAGACCACCCTCCTCTCCTCCCTAAATACCTTGACATGATTTGTTATGCCCTGCTTAAGAGAAGTGTATCATTCTCTGAGCTTCTGTCAACATGTTTGAGATATATGCCTTCCTGATATGTCCTCTCATCATCAGGATGATTTATTTTTCATTTGCTGTGTCATATTTATCTGATCTAATTACACTCACACAGGCATTAAATCTGTTCATTAAAATGAACTGATAAGGGCAGAAGATTTGGTTATGCAAATGGTTTTTGTTTTTGTTTGCGATTATCATGATAATTTAAAACAAAGTGTTTTCTCTCTTCTACATGGCAATATTACAGAGGAAAGAAAAGCTGAGTACAACTCAATGAGCCCTGACATCTCTCTTCATGGAATTGGAAATGGTACAGGTGAGAACACTTCACAATATTTTTGAAATATTCGTGCATACAGTAGATAGACAATAAATAACTATATTTAGAGAGTTGGGTCAAAAATTTTTAGTAATCAAGATACTTAATCAAATCTTGAGCATATTCATCATGAAATACTTCTTATGTAGGTGTGTAACATCTCTTAAGACCGTACGTAAACTTGAGCACTTGAGCGTCTGAGATAATGCTTCCTCGTGTGTCCATGGGAGATGGAAAGTAAACATTTTTTAGTTGAGTGCGAGTGCATGGCAAATCACATTTTGTAGCCAAATTGAGTTTAAGACCAAAATCGAATTTGTTCAGTCCATGTACTTTCAAATTGATTACAATGAAACAATAACATTTTCATTTGCTTACCCAAAGAGTCCAGTCATCTGAAGAAAAAGTATCATTTGCAATAACTTCTGTCATTTTATTAGTTATCTACCCATATTACCTCATGTTTTTTTTTTGTTTTTTTTAAATAAATCTACTTTTCTATAAGGCACTCTTGTCTACTTATCCTGTCAGTATCTTTTAGTTGTTCTCCATAAAGCATCCAAAAACCTATTGTTTACAAAAATTACGTTTAAAATCTTGTTCTGTGCAATTACACGTAACACATGATCCATAATTAGATTATTGAGTCTGATTTTATGTATACGATGAGCAATACAAAGTGAGATCAGTTACCCCAGCACGCCTAATTGCCATATAACTCAATTACCCATAATGCTGGAAATGTTTAAAGCATTTTCAAACATGCAAGAGGATGCTTAAAGAGTGCTTGATGATCAAGCTGGCTCCTATTAGTCTTTGAAGTGGCCATTATGTTGTAACTTAAATAAATACTTCCACCTTGAAAGGCCTTCTAATGGTTTGGTCTCCACTATATCACACTTAGCGGGACCAGTGTCCTAATATTCAGCTTGGTCCTTTCCAATGACACTGAGCATCAACCACTGGATTCATTTGTGTTTTTTTTCTCCCCACTTCCTGTGTGCAGTTAAGGGTATTGATGCCTCTTCAGAGCTGGAAAGCTTCTTTGCCAAGAGGAAACTGGATGACGGTGAGGGACATGCAGCGAGCATTGCAGAATACCTGCAGGATACTGTTATCATTTATCCAGAAGATCCAGACGAGGGTACACGACTAGGAACACCGGAGGCCAACGGACAAGATGAAAATGAAAACGGTAGGCTTTAAACATATATAAAAAACGCAATACATAAGAAGATGGTCTAACATTTACGACTCGCCAAGTGCAAGTAGAAATTGTTTTTGGTCTCATTGTCAAAGAGACAAAAACTATTTTTTAATAAAAACTAAAGTAAAAATCTGTTTCATTGCCAGTAAGAAATATTTACATTTTAAAATGTTGTACAATATCTATTTTATTATTATTATTATTATTATTTATTAAATTAAATGTAACTAAATGTAATATAATTATATATATATTATATTTTATTTATTTTATATATTTATATTTAATTGTATTTAATTAAAATTATTATATATTTAATTATATATTATATAATACACATTTTTTATGTATTTGTTATATCTTAAATGTAAAAAAAAATAAACAAGTGAATTAAAAAATAAACAAATCAATAAAGTAATTCTTGGCTGTTTCAAATTTCTGATTGCAGTGCTATATCTATCGTTCTCCCATGGCCTTATATGGCAACTGTTTGTCCTACATATGCTGATTTTTTTTTTCTTCTTCAATCCCCCTCCTTCACTCTGTTTGCTCCTTTCAATTTTGCCCAGATCTGGCACTGAGGACGCCAGATGCCTTTGCCCAACTGTTGACCTGCCCCTACTGTGACCGGGGCTACAAGCGGCTGACCTCTCTGAAGGAGCACATCAAGTACCGACATGAGAAAAACGATGAGAGCTTCCCCTGTCCCCTGTGCAGTGACACCTTCGCCTACCGCACCCAGCTAGAGCGCCATATGGCCACACATAAGCCTGCCAGAGATCAGGTGAGACGAGGCCCACCTCAGTCAGTACCCACACTCGTTAATTTCAAATCATGTTTTTTCAAAGATTATTATAGAAATTCATTGTCAAAGATGCATCATCTCACATTCTGAGCATTTACTTAAAGGGGTGGTTCAGAATTTTGGACATCGGGCCTCATGTCCAAGTTAGCCTTTAGTGTTATTTATCAGTGGAGATATAGTTGAATAGTTTCAACATCCAGTTGCATATTTCGCTAATGCTAGGCTAGCGTGAGTCAATGGTAACTGCTAGCCTTCCATTAAAAACAGTTTTACCCACTCCACAGTACACAAAAAATATGACGCCAGACTATCGATGTAAATGTCTGTTGAGATAATAATGTTAGAAATCAAACTATCCTTTCATCGCATTGCAATAGTTATACTTTGTTCCCCGTATTTATTATCCTGTAAATGTATTGTGATAATAGAGATGCAAGAGTAGTTTGATAGTCTGGCGTTATAATTTATTTGCTTTTGGTGTTCTGTGGAGTGGGTAAAACTGGCTGGCTAGCAATAATTAAATGGCTGGCTAGCAATTACCGTTGACTCGCGCAAGCCTAGCACAAGCGAACTATGCAACTGGAACGACTGGATGAAAAATTTGGAAAACGTCTCGGGTTATGACTATAACCCTTGTTCCCTGAGAAGGGAACGAGACACTGCGTCGATAAAATCGACTCTTTGGGGACGCTCCCTAAGCGTGCGCCTCTGAAGTATGAATGAAACTAATCCAATCCTGATTGGTGTTGCGTCGTGACGTAACATGTGACGGCATACCCGGAAGTATAAAAGTGACGCTGTCACAACACACACTAGCCTCGCGATGAAGCAAGACGCTCAAGGGTCTGAAAAGGGGGCGTGGCAACACGACGCAGTGTCTCGTTCCCTTCTCAGGGAACAAGGGTTATAGTCATAACCCGAGACGTTCCCTATCGAGGGAACTCAACACTGCGTCGATAAAATCGACTCTTTGGGAACGAGTACCCACTAGGCCACGCACCGAACAGACCCGCCCCAGAGTGAAACTGATTAGGCACTCAGCAAGGGCCGAGTACGTGTGCACCGGGCGTACTGGGAAGGCTGAGACTGTAAAACCTGATGAAAGTATGCGGGGTAGCCCAGCCGGCTGCCTCACAAATCTCCTGCAGAGGTACTCCCGACAGAAGGGCCCTAGAGGAAGCCATGCCTCTAGTCGAGTGAGCCCTTAAGGCCAAAGGTGAAGGAACCCCACGCACCTTGTAAGCCTCAGTAATAGCCTGGACAATCCAGTTACTTATAGTTTGTTTGGTCGCCGGGAGCCCCCTCTTAGGTGACCCAAAGCATACTAACAACTGGTCAGATCTTCTCCAAGAAGCAGACTTTTCCAAGTATACACTCAAAGCTCTGACGGGGCAGAGCAAGTGAAGCCTCTCTTCTCCCGCCGACACATGAGGTGGAGGATGGAATGCCTGAAGGACTACAGAGCGAGCCGTACTCGAAGGAACTTTAGGCACGTAGCCCGGACTCGGGTGCAAAAAGGCCTTTACTTTGCCAGGGGCAAACTCCAAGCAAGCTGGCGTTACCGCCAGGGCCTGGAGATCTCCCACCCTCTTAAGAGAGGTAATCGCTAAGAGAAAGACCATTTTCAACGTTAAGTCCTTAGGCGAAGCCGACTCTAAAGGTTCGAAGGGAGCGAGGGACAACCCTTCCAGAACTATTGCCAGATCCCAGGCAGGCACCCTGGACCTGATCGCCGGCCTCATCCTCCAAGCACCACGGAGAAACCTAATGACCAACTGGTGCCTCCCCAGAGGTCCACCATCTACTGGCGCGTGGAAAGCCGAAACGGCAGCCACGTACACCTTAAGAGTGGACGGGGAGAGACCCGCAGAGAAACGATCCTGAAGGAATTCCAGAACTGAAGCCACTGGGCAGTTTACTGGATCCAACCTTCGTTCTCCACACCAAGTGTGAAACACCTTCCACTTGAGGCCATATAATCTCCTGGTAGATGGGGCCCTAGAGCTAAGTATGGTTTCAACCACCTCAGCTGATAAGCCAGCATTTAGGTACTGAACCCCCTCAGAGGCCAGACCCACAGCTTCCACAACTCTGGGCGAGGGTGGAAGATTGTGCCCTCCGCCTGAGACAATAGATCCCTCCTCAGAGGAATCGGCCATGGCGGAGCTATGAGGAGTGATATTATATCCGAGAACCATACTCGTGTCGGCCATCTCGGGGCAACCAGAAGTAGACTGATGCCCTCTTGACGGACCCTCTCCAGGACCCCTGGGAGCAGAGCGATCGGGGGGAAAGCATACAGGCGAAGCCTCGGCCAAGCCTGTACCATGGCATCCAACCCCAGTGGGGCTGGATGTGAGAGGGAGAACCAAAGTGGACAGTGGGACGTCTCTCGAGACGCAAACAGATCCACTTCCATCGGTCCGAACCTCTCCCATATTGACTTCACCACATCCGGATGAAGTCTCCATTCCCCGGGCCTCAGCCCCTGCCTCGACAGGATGTCTGCTCCCCGATTCTGAACCCCTGGGATATACATTGCCCTTATTGACAATATCTTTCCCTGGGACCAAAGGATAATCTGATGCGCCAGTTTGCACAGAGGGCGCGATCTGAGTCCCCCCTGTCGGTTCAGATAGGCCACCACTGACGTATTGTCTGTCCGTATAAGGACGTGGCGACCCTCGATGTCTGGGAGGAAGCTCCTCAAAGCCTTGAATACCGCCATCATCTCCAGGCAATTTATATGCCAAGTGCGATGATGGTCCTGCCACAGACCCCTGGTAAAGCGGCCGTCCATGACCGCGCCCCAGCCCGTAAGGGAGGCGTCTGTCGAAACGGTTTCCCGGCGACATGACACCCCCAACACTGGCCCTTGGGATAGGAACCAAGGCTTCTTCCATATTTGCAGAGACTGAAGGCACTTGCGCGTTACTCTGATCATACGGAACGGATTTCCTTTGGGTGAGAACCCCTTGGTCTTCAACCACCACTGGAGGGGCCTCATGTGAAGGAGGCCCAGAGGAATAATGTTGGATGCCGCTGCCATGAGGCCCAGCATCCTTTGAAAGTGTTTCACAGTGACGGCCTGACCTAGCCTCACCCTGGACACCATCGCCAGAATTGACTCGATACGTGCGGGAGACATACGTGCCTGCATTGTAATCGAGTTCCACACGACTCCCAAAAAGGTCGTGCCCTGGGACGGTTCTAGCACACTCTTCTTCAAATTGAGTCTTAACCCCAATTTTTGAATATGGCCAAGAACGACATCTCGATGCCGAACTGCCATCTCCCGAGACTGGGCCAAAATAAGCCAGTCGTCGAGATAATTCAATACGCGAATCCCCTGAAGTCTCAGTGGAGCAAGGGCCACGTCCATACACTTGGTAAATGTGCGGGGAGAGAGTGCTAGGCCGAACGGAAGAACCCGATATTGGTATGCTTCGCCCCCGAAAGCGAACCTCAGGTATCTCCTGTGACAAGGAAGGATGGAGATGTGAAAATAGGCGTCTTTCAGATCTATCGTGACAAACCAGTCCTCGGATCTGATTTGACTCACGATTGTTGGAATGGTCAACATTCTGAATTTGAACCTTCTCAGAGACCGGTTCAACACCCTGAGATCCAAAATTGGCCTTAACCCCCCATCCTTCTTTGGAACTATAAAGTACCGGCTGTAAAACCCGGACTCCCTGTCTACCGGAAGAACACGTTCTATGGCTCCTTTCGACAGCAGAGTCTGTACTTCTTGTTCCAACACCTGAGCCTGCTCTGGGACCACCGCAGTGAGCACCACCCCAGAGAACTTGGGGGCGGTGCGCGAACTGCAGTCTGTACCCAACTCGTATTATCTGCAGGACCCATGGAGATATGTTGGGAAGATGATACCATCCCTCTACAAAATCTGCTAAGGGTACCAGCCTCTCGAGGCTGGCCTCTGGTGTCTTTTCGCTGGAAATTGATGCGGCCCGAAGCGCTGTTAACGGCGGACCTGCATCTTTTCCTAGAGGGCCCCGTTGTGAGAACAACCTCGGTTGTCTCACTGCGGAGGGGGCAGCCCTCTGAAGTCCTGCCTTGGCTAGGACCTCTTTTCCGAAGTCCTCTTAGCCTGAATGACGTCCCTCAGGTCGCCCCTCTGGCTGGAGGACTTCGGTTTTTGGGAGCGTTTCCTCTGTTGCCAAGACCCCGGAGGGGGGGCTCTAGAGGAAACGCTCTCCTTCTGCTCTGCCCTGTGGGAGGAGCTGGCTGATGGCTGGGGCTGATTGCTTTGCCCCCCCTACTAGATTTGGCCTTCGCTTTCCGGGGGAGGTACTGCTGGAACGCCGCAGATTGTTTTCTCGACTCCTGAAACCTGTCGACAACCGAATTAACGGCGTCGCCGAACAGGCCAGAAGCCGAAAGCGGCGCATCCAGCAGGAAGGACCTATCCTTTTCTTTAATACCGGATAAGTTCAGCCACAGATGCCTCTCCGTGGCCACCATGGCCGCCATAGAGCGGCCAATAGCGCTGGCCGCTTCCCTAGTGGCCCGGAGAGACAAATCTGCGGCCTTCCTCAACTCCGCGACATCTTCAGGAGTAGGCCCCTCCCCCTCATCCAAATCTTTCAGGAGGTCGGCCTGGTATGCCTGCAAAATCGCCATTGAGTGCAGACACGAACCAGCCCGACCCGCCGCCATGTAAGCCCTGCCCACCAATGCAGATGTCTCTCTGCAGGGCTTACTAGGCAACACCGGGGTCTTTAGGGAAGACGCCGATTCGGGAGAGAGATAGCTCGCTAAAGCCTCCTCCACCTTCGGCATCTTCCCATATCCCATATCTCGAGCCCCCATAACATTGCTGTAATCTATTACATTGGGACTCGAAATACGGGACGAATGCGGTCTTCCCACGTTCTCGAGATCTCTTTATGGAGATCAGGGAAAACGGCAGACCCCGGCGGTGAGGCTGTGACCTGCGCTGCAGGTAACGCTCGTCCATTTTACTGGTGACTTGCGTTTCCTGCTCATGTTGTGGCCAGCTGATGTTTAGTCTGGCCACAGCGCGTGTCACAACCTCCACCAGCTCCTCATAACCCAGGCCGCGTGATGGCGTGCTGAGATCA